CGCAAAACAACTTAGAACTTTTTATATGGATTTCCTTTCTGATGCCATACTTTTTTATAAAGTTGTCAATCAGCTTACAATTCAGAGTCTAAAAATGAGAAAAGGACCCATTACTTTGTTATTTAACTGCATTTAAATAACAAATTATAACAAAAGAACCACCAATGTCACTTCACCACACTTTCATTATATACCAGTAATACTGACTGGAGGCTAGGCGTGCGGAGTATGAGTGAGAATAGGGTAAAGAAGATCCAAACTTTATTGGCTTACACAGTTTGGTATGGCATTTGATAAGCAGACCAACTGAGGGCTTATGCCCTACTAATCCATCATGTTAGCCACTGACAAAAAGGTTGGGTTCATGTGTTTTGATCATAGATGTATATGGTTTTAAACTCAACTGATCATGTATAGCTTCTGGTGGTGTATTCTAATTTATTTTCAGGAATATATAAATAGATAACTAAGCTTTCCAATTATGGAATGAAAGAAACCTGCAGAAGTCCTAGGATAGAGTAAGAGTAACTCATTTTTTTCTTTGCAAGATTTTTACTAATATTACTTGCTCATATTTTCTGTATGCTAAGATCTCTAAAATACATTCTAAAATATATCAAAGTGAGAAACATAAATTTGATGAGGAAGAAACATAACTGAGGAAATGCAACGTTTTCACAACAATTGATCAAAGGACCTAAAAGCAATTACTTTGCACTGCTGGGCCAAGAACCATGGCATCTACAATTCCTGCTTGGAAAATGGAAAAGAAATGGGCTACTTATCTGAAAACATCATTACTGATTATGTTCTACCTAGCTGTCCTGTTCTTACTTTATTCCTATAATAATCTTCATTAAACTGTTGCTTCACTCCTGCACTGAATTTTAGAAGATAAACTTCTCAGGTCTGGAATTTGTCTTTTTAGTTGTTATTCTAAATTAACTTTGTTCAGTCAAAACGTTTTGAATTTCAGCTCCTGAAATATCCAGACAATATGGCGAGCAATTGTACTTTAAAGTATCTTGCATATTGATGCAGCTTAATTTTTGGTTTGGAGATCATGTTTGGTTTGGTTTTTAAGTATTATATAACAGCATACCTTTCATATTACACATTTTCACAATCTGTTTTATTGCTTCTTGGGAAATTTGATTCCATGCATTTCTGAGCCTAGTTGTTTTTCCAATGGGATCTTCTATCTCAAAATGCTCTGAACCAAATAAATATATTTGGAAAGTTGAGGCAACCTGCTTTTATGCTAATACTGGGTAACAGACCCACCAGTTTAAAATTATAGTCACAAGGGAGCATTTAAGCTACTGAATTTAACCTCCTGATAAGGGCTCATATTGTAAGGCTTCAGTGTTAAATAGCACAATGTTATTATATTAAATTCAACTACCTCAAGAAGGAGATGAGACTATCAGATTTATATTATGTTGTATCCTTGATATACCATACTAGAGCAAAAGTAATTCTGATTCAGGAATTCTAATTATTTTAGGAAATATTTCCAATTCATCAAAAACAGTTTTCTTATGACCATTCAAGGAAGAAAATTCCTGACTCCTGGAAAAGTTGTGCTACTGCTAAGAAAATTTCCTAATGCTTAGCATAAATAAACATTTCTTAGTGTGAATGGAAGACTTCTTCCACTCATGCTGCTTCTTCCTCTTGGTATTAGAACTGTTATACAGTATATGTATAACAAGAAGAAATACAAAAAGGTTGTTCATTATTTTCCTTATTGTACTTTGATATCTGTGAAACTATAAAATTATACTTATATTCCTGGATATACAGGAAAATAGATTGTGTTTGTGATAGGGAAAGTAAATATCAAAGCAGCAAAGTAACAATGCTGAGATTTTGCCATCTGCAGTAAGAAATTGAACATACCTTTTAGGTACCAGTTCATTCAAGATAATAATAATAATATCATTGTCATGCCATTATTGGAATCTAGCCTGTATGTCACAGAGTATGTTAGAGTTGTTAAATGCAGAAAACTCTCAATTCTGTACTCCTTTCTTCAGGCCAATTCTAGTGGAGTTAATTCTAAGTTGACAGGTATCACATTACACTGACATCATGATATTAAGAGCTCATAACGTGAATGAAAGTACATTGAAAGAGATACATTACAATTACAGCATCATAACGATAAAAAGCAAAAAACAGAAGGGACATCTTCCAAAACTGTGTTGCTTAACACAGCATTTATTCTGAACACGCCAAAAAGGATCACATCCAAGCCCCTTTTCTCTTACTTGCTGAATAGAATCCCTTGCAATGTCCCCTCTGGCCTCAGGGTGTCGGTGTTAGCCAACGTGGGCGCCAAGGAGAATGGAGCAGAGCTACTGTACAGATGCTTCCCAAAGAATGATTTCGGCATTTGTTAAAGACAGGGAAAACAGCAGATCACAAGTGCAAAGCAGTCTTGCTAAACGGGAAGGTCCCAAAAATTAAGAAGAAAGGGACCTGTTTCTTACTAGCCGAGATTTCCTGCATTCCGATGAGAATTTGAGGCAGTTACTTTATCGTAGAGGAGATGCAGCAAGGGCAAGGAGAGAATGGCAGAGCAATCGGAAGGCAAGTACTATCTCTCTTACTCTTCTCGGTTTCCTGCTGGGCCGTCTCAGAGCAGATTCATTATTCAGTCCCCGAGGAGCTGTCAAAAGGTTCTATAGTGGGGAATCTGGCAAAGGACCTAGGACTGAATCTCAGAGAACTGGCAAGTCGCAAAATGCATGCCATCTCTGTGGACAAAGTGCAGTATTTCAGAATCAGTGCAGATAATGGAAACCTCTATGTGAATGACAGGATAGATAGGGAAGAAATATGTGACACAACCCCACTATGCATTCTTAATCTTGAAGTGGTTATTGAAAATCCTTTAGACATTTACCATCTAAAAATAGAGATACAGGACATTAATGATAATGCACCACAGTTTCTCAGTAGCATAATCCAGTTGGAGATCATTGAAACAACCCAACCAGGCACCAGGTTCCTTCTTG